TCATTTTTCGGTTTTATTTTTTGTTTTGTTGTTCTGCTTTTTTGTTTGTTGAGTTTGTTTCTTTTTCTTTGTTTTTCTGTTTTATTTTATTTTATTTTATTTATTTATTTATTTAATGTTTTGGGTTTTTTTGTGGTTTGATTTAGTTGTTTGTTTGAGTTTTTAGTTTTGTTTAGTTGTTTATTTTTCTTTCATTTCTTTTATTTTTTGTCTTTTTGTTTATTTAATTTTATTTGTTTAGTGTTTTATTTTGTGATTTAATTAGTTTTTCTGTGTATTGTTTTGTTTAGTTTTGTTTATCTTTTTTATTTTTTTTATTTAGTGTTTTGTATGATCTGATTTTAGTTTTTAGTTCTGTTTTTTTTCTTTTGTTTATTTTATTCTTATTTCTTTGTTTATTTAATTAATTTATTTATTTAATGTTTTGTGTTGTTTTTTTGTTTAATTTAATTAGTTTTTTTTTATTCATTCATTCATTTTCTTTTCGGCTTTTTATCCTTTAATCCTTTTTATCTGATGTCGCCACAGTGAAATGAACTGCCAAGTTATCCAGCATATGTTTTACACAGCGGATGCCCTTCCAGCTGCAACCCATGACTGGAAAACACTCATACACTCTTGCATTCACACACATTCGGTACAGGCAATTTAGCTTACCCAATTCACCTATACCACATGTCTTTGTACTTGTGGGGGAAACTCCACACAGACTCCAAATGACCCAGCCAAGGCTTGAACCAGCAATCTTCTTGCTGAGAGGCGATTGTGCTACCCACTGCACCACCTTGACACCCTTGTTGAGTTTTTAGTTTTGTTTATTTTTGTTTCGTTTATTCTTTAGATTTTTGTTTATTTATTTTATTTCTTTATTTAATGTTTAGTTTTGGCTATTTTCCTTTGTTTTTCTGTTTTTTGTTTTATTTGATCTACTTATTTAGTTTTGTTTTGTGATTTTATTTTTTGTGTTTTGGCTTGTTTGTTTGTTGAGTTTTTAGGTTTGTTTATCGTTTGTTTATTTTTTTGTCGTTTTGTTTTGTTTATTTTATTTTATTTATTTATTTTAAAAAAATCCAATCATAAAACACTGTTTAATTGTATTTTTTTTTTTTTGTTTTTAGTTTTGTTGTTTTATTTTAATTTTTTCTCTTTGGTTTGTTTTCGTTTTCCCACATTTACCTTGTGCTAATTAAGAACTGGTACCTTCACTTAAAGTCAGAAAATGGCCAAAAATACTTTTAATTAAGCGCCGTTATTAGAGAGACAGACAGACATACAGAGTGGTGTAATGGATGAGCTTCAGGTTAGCAGTTTTACTGCCTCGGCCTGATAAAGAGAGGCCATTATTTCACCCCTGGGGGACTCAGTCTGATGAGGAGGCCATAAAACTACAGAGCCACAACCACACCTTTACACTCTTTCATTCCAGTTCCCAGGAATATAATCTCTTCCGTAACAGCTGTTTTGACCCTTAAAAAAAATCTGTGAAAATGCTGCAGGTCCTGTTTTAGTGTTGCAACGGACCAAACAGAAATCACGGTTGCTCACATTTACACTCTAATTGGCTATTCTGGGTCATTCTCTGATTTGACAACCCCAGATTATATTACTAATGCTATGCTTGGTTTTAATTTTGTGACTCATCTCAAGTTTTAGGAAAAAAAGACGACAGCAAATACATCCTGTATGTTTTAAATGACAGTTTCTCCAGTTTTCACAGACTAGGCTTAAGGGTAGTCCTCAACTAAATTGAATATTTAAGCTGTCTTACATAAAAATAACTAAGTAGCACATATTTTTATTAAAGTTCTAGTTCTTTAGGAAAGCCCTGTTTTCTTTATGGATTAATTTAGTCTGTATAAACAGAAATACCTAAATATTTTAAGCTTTTTTCGCGCATCTTTCCTTCATAGCAAACTAACAGTGCAAGAGCCGTGGCTAAGAATATTGTGGCTGAACTCATTAAACTGACGTCAACAGAACAGTCCACACTCCAAATGTAGATGCACATGGTCAGGCTTTAATTGAAGACTACCAAAACAAACATTTATTGTCAGTGGATTAACTTGCGCAGATGAATTGTTCACCTAAACCATATTAACGTGCACTATTAAAAATAAACAGCAAATTTTGATTCCACAACATGGACTTTAATAACTATACATGTTGTATTTACAACTTTTTGCTACTATTAAATAGCAGCTTTTGCCTTCTGACACACATTTTCAGTCATGTAAAGTGGATGAAACCTCTTTTCTAGAAACATTATGGACAATAATTAATTTTTGTTTGTGTTTTAAAAGGCAGTGTTGAAATGAAAACAAACACTGCTTTAGTCCGTGCCCCAAAGGAGACACATGGACCTAAACACGTGTCGATCTTAATCCCTCGCTGCTGGTTTTCAATTTGTGAATGTGCGCGCGTGTGTGGTTTATAAAGCCCGATTACATCATGTTTTGGCCCATCATCCGGTTCAGATAAGCTGGATCATACTTTTATGTAATAGAGAAGAGTTGAGGACATAGTTCATTCAGACCAGCACTTGCTGTATAAACACAGAGCACATGGAGCGGCACGAATCCCATCAGTTTTCTGCTTTTCCGTGTGTTTTTCTTGGGAATCGTGTCGTAGGTCAGTGTGAATGAAGCATGTGTGTGTCTGTCATGTTTGACTGGTTTTCATAAATATGAACAACTGCAGGAGAATTATTAACAGACTGTAGACTGATGTGTGTGTGTATAGTGCTATATGTACACAGGTTCATGTGTGTGTGTGTGTGTGTGTGTGTGTGTGTGTGTTTAAATGGAAAGGGGGTAAATAAGGGCTTTCAGTGAAATTGAAGTATCACATGCTGCTTTTTCAATAAACATACACACACAACACACACACTAGCATGTATCCCGAATCACTATCTATCCTACATGATATATGAGATTAGTGTGTCCTGAATCACAGTATGTTAAAAATAGCACGGCAGATGTACTTTTTAAGCTGATATTAAATACAAGATGTTGTTAATAGTCGTGTGTGATGTGCTTCAGCACTGTTCAGCTTTCTCAAGTTAAAAATAGCGTTTATTGGGTTTTTAAATGTGATTTATGTGATATTAAATGTATTTGTGTTGGCTGTTTTCTGTAATATGTGTAATGTGAACGCTGATGTGTGATGAAGCCAAAGATACATTTCCACTCGTGGACAATTAGAAAAGCAATAAATTAATTTAAAGTTCACTTGTAAACATCCGTTTGATTACTTTTTTGTAGCTCATTTGAATAACAAGTTATACAAATGTTCTTATGTATTGATATTTTAAATGTGATTATTGTTGATTTTGTCTTGTGTGAGATTATTTTAGATCAGGGGTCAACAACCCTGTTCCTGGAGATCTACCTTCCTGCAGAATCCAGTCCCAATCCTGATCAAACACACCTGAACCAATTAATAGTACCTAAAGCAGCACCTGATAATTACAAACAGGTGTGTTTGGTCAAGGTTGCAACTGAAATGTGCAGGAAGGTGGCTCTCCAGGAACTGGGTTGGTGACCCCTGTTTTAGAAATTAAACATTGTTTTTTTTAAGTCTTGAATTAAACCTTTTCAAAATATAAAATGTTTATAAAATTTTATTTATAATAATTAATCTTAATAATAAATTGATGAATTATTCATTCATTAATTTTCCTTCGACTTAGTCCTTTTATTTATCAGGGGTCTCCACAGGGGGATGAACTGCCAACTTATCCAGCTTTCATATGTTTTTACACAGTGGATGCCCTTCCAGCTGCAACCCATACACACATATACACTATGGCCACTAAGCCACTGCGTCACCTGATATATTTTTATTATTATTATTATATTTGATAAAAATATTCATTTGTACTTATTATTTGTTATTATTATTTTATTTATTTATTATAATTAATACCTTGAAATGTACCATCTCAATTTCCAGAGGATCCCACAATTAATCACAATCACATAAAAATAACACGAGAAGACAAAAACAAAGCATAAATGACAAAACATCCTTAAAACAACAATAAAACTTAACATTGACAAAAGGGAAGTTGTATAAGTACATACATATTCATAGTACAAAAAACTTTAAAGTTTTATATTTACAGTTTAATATGTATAATATTATTTAAAGTTTAAAAATTTTAAGTTTATTATATTTATTTAATCTTTTTTAAAGTTTTAAAATCAAAAGTTTATTATATTTATTTAATATTATTTAAAGTTTTAAAATCTAAAGTTTATTTTATTTATTTAATATTATTTAAAGTTTTATATTTAAAGGTTAATATATTTATTTAATATTATTTAAAGTTTAAAAATTTAAAGTTTATTTTATTTATTTAATATTCATTAAATTTTTAATATTTAAAGGTTAATATATTTATTTAATATTATTTAAAGTTTAAAAATGTAAAGTTTATTTTATTTATTTAATATTATTTAAAGTTTTAATATTTAAAGTTTATTTTATTTATTTAATATTATTTAAAGTTTTAATATTTAAAGTTTATTTTATTTATTTAGTATTATTCAAAGTTTTATATTAAAAGGTTAATACATTTATTTAATATTATTTAAAAGGTTAAATATTTAAAGTTTAAAACATTTATTTAACATTATTGAAGATTAAAACATGGTCTTAAAGTTTTTGACTTTTTTAAAGAAACAATCAGTAGAGATTTTTGGTAGAAGTCATGATTTTTAATTCTGATTATTCTGATTATTATATTTATTTTTAAATGAAACATTATTTAAATTAAACGACTTATTTATAGAATTTTTTGTTTTTTTAAAGACTATTAGTTATTTTAGTTCATTTAGTAATGACAACTTTAAGACACATTTATAATGGGAAAGTGCCTTAAATACATAAAAATGCTTTAGTTTGTATTGTATGTCACTGTAAATGCCATTAAGCAGCAGCTTTTCTCCCCACATGTTATTCATATTCACCGTCTAACCATTGCTCCTTTTCTCTCCCAGACATTGTTCATGAGAATCTGAAGATGGGTTCGGATGGAGAGAGTGATCAGGCCTCAGGAACGTCTTCAGATGAAGTGCAGTCTCCCACCGGAGTGTGTCTGCGCACCCGAAGCCACCGCCGCATTTCCATGGAGGTAAGACAGAAACGAACCAACAGCTCTAAACCCGCTTCAGACGCAGCCATGTGTCACTTACCGTGAACTTTATTTGTGGCCTTGGGTAGGTGGAGGGATTCCTTCATTTCTCTTTTACAATTACTCATTCTCTCCTACGTCCTATTAGTCAGCTTCTTTCTTCCTCTTAAGTGGCTGCCCATAATGGAAAGAGAAATCTGGAGGTTTTGTGAGCAGGTGCTGATGGTGTAAGAGGAACTTGTGTGTTTTCGAGAGCTTGTGTGTGTGTGTGTTAAGACACTGCAGGTGAATAGGTATTAAGGTAAAACGAATATTATCTGATAGCTATCACCATGTTTTAACTTTAACTGTTAAAAGCCAATAGAAACTGGTTAAAGTAATTAGCTACTAATACATTTCTGGTAATAGATAACGTAAATTTTCATACGTAAAAGACTTTTAGGGACTGGGGACACTAAATGATGTTACACTAAGTGTTTTAGGTATCATTTGGTCCCATTCTTTCTGCAAACAAGTCTTAAGGTAGGCAAGGTCTTTTGCGCTTCAAAATTTGCCACACATTCTCTATTAGGGACAGGTTAGGACTGCAGGGAGGCCAGTTAAATACCTGTATCCTCTTCTTTCACAGCCAGATCTTTGTAATGTGTGCAGAATGTGGTTTTGCATCATCATATTTTAACTTTAATAATGTTTAACTTTAATTAATCTTCTAATGACGAAGAGCTTTTAATGGTTAAAGTAATTAGCAACTAATAAAGTTCTGGTAATTAATAACATAAATTTTCTAATAACGTACATTTTCTAAACACTTAAAAGATTTTTAGGGACTGAAAACACAGAGTGATAAAGTGTTTCAGGTGTCATTTAGTCACAGTCTTCCTGCAAAAAAATCTTAAAGTGGGCAAGAGTACAAGGGATTTTGCACATCAAAATGTGCCACACATTCTCTATTGTAGACAGGTTGGGACTACAGGCAGGCCAGTCAAGTACCTGAATTTTCTTCTTTCACAGCCAGAACTTTGTAAATGCAGAATGCGGTTTTGCATGACCATATTTTAACTTTAACCATTAAAATCTCTTGGTTTAGTTAAAGTAATTAGTAACTAATAAAGGAGTCCCACTTTATATTAAGTGGCCTTAACTAATATGTACTTACACATGAATTAATAGTTTTAGTTACAATGTACTTATTGTGTAAATACATGTATTTATTGTGTACTCATGCTCGATTAAATACCTGTATGTAATTACATCTGTAATTAACTTTTGTAATTACATTTGTAAATACACTGCTGACCATTCCCTACACCTTAAACCTACCCACACCACCGAACCTGTCCCTAACCCAACCCCTATCCCAACTCAAGAGCACCACAAGTGCTCTCAAATACTTTATGAACACAGTAAGTACATTGTATTTATTTTTTGATGTAAGTACATACAGTAGTAGTTAAGGACACTTAATATATAGTGGGACCAATAAAGGTCTATTAATTAATAACATACATTTTCTATTAACGTACATTTTCACAACACTTAAAAGAGGTTTAGGGACTGAAGACACAGAGTGATGAAGTGTTTCAGGTGTAACTTTGTCCCATTCTTCCTGCAAACAAGTCTTAATGTGGGCAACAGTACAAACTCTTATGCGCTTCAAAATGTGTCACACATTCTCTATTGGAGACAGGTTGGGAATTAAATATTTGCCTTGTTGATGGACTATACTAAGAATGCAAATGATGCATTATATAATTACATATGCATTTATTTGCATAACATTCTAGCACAAAAGTCTGGATGAAGCCAAGTTTTTGTTACATTTTCTATTTGTCATGTTAGATTCAACCATGATAGATTCAACCTTTGCAAAAACATGGCTTTATCCAGGTTTAAAAAGGGGAATTGAATTGCTTTAATTTTTTTTTTACTTTTTAATTAAAATTGTATTCTTTGGAGGTGTAAAATCCTGTAAAAAATATTGATTGTTTTTGTATTTTTAAATGAAGCATATTTATTCATTCATATTATTTATGAACTTCAGAATATAGATATAATCGGGTGTATGCGAGTGCTGCTAAAGTGGGGATTTATAATTCAATGTAGGATGTTTTTATTTAATCTGACCAAAGAAAACAAAGAAAACATTTTAGGGATGACCAAAAAGCACAAAAAGTGACAAGTGCTTAAAATAAACTGCCTTTTCTGTACTCTCACCTTTAAAAGTCATTTATTAACCTCATTTGTAAAGCTTAAACTAGGTATTACACAAGACAGCTAGTTTCTATCCTAACCAGTTGCAGCTGCAACAAGTAACAGGATGTTTTGGTTTATGCACTGCATAGCTCCGCCCACTGTGGAACATGATTGGTCTAAAATTACACTCCTTGGTTATTATGTATTAAACATCAAAGCTGTTCTGGTTACCTGAGAATGTAATTGGGCAGAAATATCAATATCACTATTTATTTTTCAAATCATAAATAAATAAAAAATATCAAAACAGTTATCAGATCATATACACCTGTGTCCCTCTGGCACCGTTTAATATTAAAGGTAGGCACACAATAATTTGAAAGAAAATATAGCATGTCTCTCTTTTTTTCTCCTTCACTCCTTTTTTCTCGTTTTATAATTAAGCTGTTTGTTTTCTTCATTGCAGTGTTATAGAGAAGGGTGTAAATGCCATTGTTTTTGAGGATTTAAAACGAAGAAAAAAAACTCTTGGAAAAATCAGAATTAAGCTGACTACATCAAGACATGCACGTCACTCTCTGGCTACATGAAGCATTTAAAGCTGCTTATTCTGGGCTTTTAATTGCAAACCTCAGTTCAAACTAGTTATTTGGCCATGTGTTCCTCAATCTCGCTGCCGGTCGTCTGTCTTCTTTTGCCCCCTGCTGTATACCCCGAGTTACTGCAGCAACATACAAATAAAAACAAATAGAAACATCATTTGAAAAAGGAATGAAATGGATGAGTAGTCATATATTAACAGGATTAATAACGAACCTTATAGCGCTGAACCAGAATCGAAACATTAGTAAATGAAGTTTTTGTAAATCAAAGGCATCATAACTAATTCTCTAGTAAAATAAAACACTTTAAATGGATGTTATATTTATTATCATAAATAGTATATGTATGCTAAAAGATAAGTTATATTACTTCTTAATAAATTATAATTCTTAAACTATATATTATATTACAAATGACATGTTTTTGTTAATAAAAGGCAGCAGAACAAATCCTCTTGTCAAATGAAATGCGTTAAATGGATATATTTTTATTTTCATAAATAATATATGTATGCCAAAATATATTATCTATTGTCTGTATGTGTTTTATATACATATATATGATTAACAAGGACATATTTAAATTGTGTTTTTTCATACACATTTGTATAATCAATTGTATGTTCTTTTGGTTTTCTTTTAAATACGTCTACACTGAAAAAAACTCTTAAGATTTAATGTTTTAAAATCCTCTTAATAATTTGCCTTAATACATTTCAAGTAAATTTTACCATCTTAAATCAGTTACTAATTTTGAAATTGAAAGTTGAAATTAATTTTTATTAATTTCAATAAATATTGTTAGTTCCAATTTTGCTACATCTGGCATAACTGTTTAATTAGGACCCACATTTTTCTACTGGGCGGGTATAAGATTTTTATGGTATGATAACCTTGGATAAAAATATCCCGGTTCGACAGTATTGTAATTATCGGTGACTTCTGCTGTCTTCCTTAGTTTCAAAAACACAGATATCTTTACAATTTAAAATGACATCTTCGGAAATCTTTTCTGCTGGTGATACTGTTGTCTTATGAAACTAAAAAGAAAAACGTAAATAATAAATCTTACACATACCTTAGGAACAGTACAGCAGAAAGTTTTGGCAGTTTTAAAACCTTGACTTTTCCAAACCGCGGTATACCTTGAAAACAGGTATTGTCCCATGCCTAGCACTGACTTGAAATATGTTATTCCATTTTATTTTAAGCAAATTGAACCCAAGAGCAAATTTACTTTAAAAGTGATCTCAGAGCTAGTGTTAGCATAGCTATGACTTTATGAGTGAATTGTCAAACATTAATACTGATAATAAATATGCCAAGACGCTATAAGCATGAGGGCTACTCTTCGTCAAGATTTTTACCTCAAAACTAAAGACACTTACTCAAAACCCTTCTTAATCTTCAAACCAATGATGATTAAACTCGAGCAAGTCTTCTTCTCTAATTTATACACCTAAGATTGCTTTTATTTTCAAAATATTCTTCTCCACACATCCTTTACAACATATTCATTATTAAAATGTTCATAATATTAGTGGGTTTGCAATAATAAGAAAATATTTAAATGTTGCAACTATATGAATATTAATGAGGCACGGTGGCTCAATGGTTAGCACTGTCGCCTCAAAGCAAGTAGGCCACTGGTTCGAGTCCCGGCTGAGCCAGGTAGCATTTCTGTGTGGAGTTTGCGTGCGCGTGCGCGTGCGTGTGTGCGTGCGTGTGTGTGTGTGTGTGTGTGTTATGTGAATGAGTGTGTATGGGAGTTACCCTGTACTGGGTTGTGGCTAAATGGCTGAAAGGGCATCCACTATGTAAAACATATGCTAGAATAGTTGGTGGTTCATGCTGCTGTGGCAACCTCTGAAATAAAGACTAAGCCGAAGGAAAATTAATGAATGAATGAATGAATGAATGAATGAATGAATGAATGAATGAATGAATGAATGAATGACTGAATAAATATTAATATTCAACTCTTTCCATTCCTTTTCTTATTATATCAATTGAATGTGTAAATATTGAATATTTACTTGGAAAATTCTAGTTATCCTGGAAAATATTACAATTAAAAAAATTATGAAAGTAAATTTAATAAATTTTACTACACCAAAAGGTAATTTCCTTCAGTGTACAGTAGATGTTTTGCTTACAATTTTCTTTTTTTCTCAAATTCATTAGTGATTTTCACATTATTTCGTTTCAGGAATGCATAAACTTTCTCTGCTTAACATTAGTAATGTTTGTTTTTACTAATGCTGATGTTATAAAATGTCAAAAAGAAAGGAAGAGTTTTTAATTTATGTTTTATATGTTTTTGTGGCCCAATGTGATCATATATAGTCTTGCAGATTCTTTAAATGTAGCCTGTAGGTAGAGAGAGAGAGAGAGAGAGAGAGAGAGAGAGAGAGAGAGAGAGAGAGAGAGAGAGAGAGAGAGAGAGAATGTAAATGGAGGGAATTCAAAGCGTGATGGAGGGCTATTTATGGAAGATGCTAATGCTTTGCTTTGAGAATGGCTTTATGAAGTCACACTATCTTATTTAAAACACACACACACACACACAATGCTTTAAGATGACACACATGTATACCATATGAAAATAAGTCACCGAACATCAATTATTAATCTGATTTCTGCTTTGATAAGAAGCGTGCTAATGTTGTCCCATGTGATTGACCTAATTGCATATGCGCCTTTTGTGTTTTGATTCTCAGGATCTGAACAAACGCTTGTCTTTGCCTGCTGATATCCGGATTCCTGACGGCTACCTGGAAAAGCTACAGCTGAGCAGTCCACCGTTTGATCAACCCCTCAGCCGACGCTCACGCAGAGCCTCACTGGTCAGTTTCAACACTTCAGACTCTTTATTTATTTATTTATTTATTTATTTATTTATATATTTTTTTATTTATAATGTTTTAAAGGACAGATTTTCCTGTTAATTTACTCACCATTCAATATGAACACTGTCAGACCATTAGCTGAACACTAAAGATTATTTTTACCCTAAATGGAGAGATAAAACGTATGAAACTTACCCCATAGTTTGCTCTCCCTCAAGCCGTAGGTATTACATGTGATATAGGTGAATTAGGTAGGCTAAATTGACCATAGTGTATGTGTGTGAATGAGTGTGTGTGTGGATGTTTCCCAGTGATGGGTTGCAGCTGGAAGGACATCCACAGCGTAAAACATATGCTGGATAAGTTGGCGGTTCGTTCCACTGTGGTAACCCCTGATTAATAAAGAGACTAAGCCAAAAAGAAAATGAATGAACAAATCTATATATTTTGTAAGTATAAACTCGAATTTTCTGTGAATGACACAAGACGCAGCTTTTTTTTTTCTTTTTTTAACAAATGTTTTTATTAGTTTTACATTTTCAATAATTAGCAAACAACACAACAATAATATAAATACAAGGAATAAGCATGAAAATACAAAGAGAAGTAATGGTAATGATAATTAAAATAAAGAAAAATGGATAAAGGAAAATAAAAAAAATAACAAACTTAAGTTATTATTAAAAAAACAATTAGGGCATATAAACGGTTTCTATGAAAATACAAAAAGACAGTCAATAGGGGTAGTGAGCATATTAAGCATTACACTGCTGTTCAGAATCCGCATTATATTGGTCCAGGTGATCAAGAAATGGTTGCCATATATTATAAAACTTAGCAAGATTATCAATAATTCCATATCGGACTCTTTCCATGTGCAATATTTGAGTGAGATAAGTTAACCATGTCTTAAATTGAGGAACAGAATCTGATTTCCACAGTTTTAGGATGACACTCTTAGCAATAATCATTCCATAAATGATGGTGCTTATATACACATTGTGATCCAGCAAAGATCTAGAGTATCCAAATATAGCAATTTCTGGCTCGGGTGTCAAGGTAAAACCATACCAGAAAACCATTTAATTATGTCACACCCGAAATTATAACGTTTTGGGCACGTCCAAAAGAGGTGGGTCAGGGAGCCTTCAGCAGACTTACACCGGTCACTAGACGCAGCTTTTTAAGAGCCAAATAGTTTCTTGTTTGTCAAATATGGTGGTAAATGGAGTCAGAGGTCAGCCAAGATGGTGTCTAGAATGTGCGTTCAGCAGCTGCCGAGGTTGTTGATTTGAGTCTCTAATTAAAAAATGTGAAATATTTGTGTTGCCATAAACACATTGATCCTCTTCATAAGACATGCACGTTACCTTCTGGCGTTGTGTGGGTTAATTGTACAACAGATTTATGCAGTTTTGGAAGGTTAAAATTAAAAGAAAATTTTAAACTTCTCCGACTGTGTTCCTCTGAAAATAGAAAGTCATATTCACTGAGAGTGGCCTGAGGGGGAGTAATTTATTGGGTAATTAAAATTTTTGGGTGAATATTCCTTTAAACTGTGACCTTTAGTTATTCAAAAAATGTAAGTCAAAGGCTTTTAGTGCTTTAAATGTCAAAAAACTGTATTAATAGAAAAAAACTGAATTAACACACATGTCTCTTGACAATAAATTAAGATAATTTATGAAGCAATTCAGTGGTGTTCACTCTGCCATGTAGCTTTTTAAGAAGCCAATGTTTTACTGTAGAAAAAAGCTCCAGCAAACCATGACACTTCACATCCACCTTTACTGATTTGGCACCACTTTTAGGCCCAATCCCAATATTATTTTGTACCCCTACCCTTTTGCCCTGGGTCTTGAAACAGGGGGCCCTATCATACACCCGGCGCAAGGCGCGATGCAGTTCAGCTTGGCGCATAAGTCATTTTGACATTTTGCAGCACGCTGTTTAAATAGCAAATGCATTTGCGCTCATATGTGCGCCCATAGGCCTTCTGGTCTAAAAAAGGAGGTGTGTTAAGGCGCATTGCTGACGCGTTGCTATTTTGAGGAACTAAAATAGTCCGCTTAATGGACCAGCTAAGAGGAGGTCTAAAGTCCAGCACAGAGCGCATTAGTTTGTGCGCCTCGCTTAAACATTGCTTAATACACACAGGATGGACAGCAATACACAAATATCTTTACAAATGAAAAAGAATTAAAGGATTAAAATTTTACAAAAAATATTATTTTCTAGCCTACATAAATATAAAAAACAAACTTACATGCCGCATTCATCTCGGGGGGCTTTTTCAGTTTATTCATGACTATTTGCTTTTGTATAATGTTCTTATTATTAGCAGTATTATTTATTATCTGCATATTTATATTTGTTTTATTATAAACAAGCTTAGATTTGCCCACCTGTCAGGTTTTAGACTATATGGGGCACAGCATGTGTATTAGGATATAACTCAGTTTTTAACACACTTTGTTATTATTGTTCGTTTATTTGTTTGCTGCAAATTAGAACTGAATTTGGGAATAGTTTTGAAACAAATCTTTGCGCTTAACAAACAAAATGAATTATTTATAGGCTAGTAGATGTCTGTGCGTACAACACGTTTCTCTATCCGTGAGAGTGAAAGTGGAAGAATGAGGAGGCTCATCGCTCATTCTCACGCTGTAGATGCTCTGTTTAACTGTTTTATTGCTAGTGAAGCGTTTAGTTTTTCCACTTACAAAGTCCGCCATGTAAATAGCATATGCCTTGGAGCGACGCAAATAACTCTTAAAGGGAATGGGAGATGAGACTCTGATTGGTTTATTCTCAAAACACACCTATAACTCATTACGATAATAAGCTCAACCCTGTTAGACCATGCACCATGGCACAAAGTGGATTTTTCCATTGTTACTATAGTAAAAGTGGATTCTGACACGCCCCTTAATGCTTGGACTTTGCGCCTGGATCATCAAAATAGAGCCTAAAGCACAGGTGTCAAACTCAGTTCCAAAAGGGCCGCAGCTCTGCACAGTTTAGTTCCAACCCTAATTAAACCCACCTGATCAAACTAATTGAGTCCTTCAGGCTTGTTTGAAACCTTCAGGTAAGTGTGTTGGAGCAGGGTTGGAACTAAACTGTGCAGGGCTTTGGCCCTCCAGGAATTGAGTTTGACACCCCTGGCCTAAAGTTTGTAGGGTAAGGGCTTCAAATTTACTCCTAAGATATGGGAAAGCACTACAACACCCGTACACGTCTTCATATAATAATAATAATTTATTTTTAAGTAGCGCCTTTAAAACTTAATTCTGAAAGCGCTTTACACAAAAAAGGCACAGATATAAAACATTTTAGAGTAACAGTGAAATTGAATCATTCAAAACAAAACATTCAAATATCTGGAAACATAAAACAAACCAAAAATGCTCACCTCACGAGTAGGCAAGTGTAAAAGTAGTGTGTTTTCAATGTGTTATTTTGTCGCAAGCTCTTACCTCATATGAGATCGACGACGGCACCTGCTGTTATTCCAGTTGCATTATTTTTTGGTTTTTACCTTCAGGAAATCACAGAAGCCAACGATAACTGTCATAACAATATAATGTGGCAATAAGCTCCTAACTGTACTGTGCATTTACACTGTAGCCATGTTCATCTGTGCACAAGAATGGTAGGGGTACGAGGAAGGGGTAAAATTGGGACTGGGCCTTAATTTATTGTTTCCCAGTATGATGTCCAACATTGTTTCCCATCAGGCCATGTCCACATGTACACAGGGGTTTTAAAAAAATGGAGTATTGCCTGATTTTGTTTTCAAAAAAATCTCTGTCCACATGAAAATACTGAAAGGTACTGTGATGCATGTTATGGGAATGCCGAACAAACAAACGGAGAGTTTTATGCTAGGTTCACACCAAACAGAGAGTTCAACATTTTCATGAATAAATTGAATACAAATCCATGCAAACGTGACAACAGAGGTGGATTACCGTCTCGCGGATATGCAGAATTTTCCTCCATCTCGTCTTGTGCATTTGGTGTGAACCCAGCTGTGTTGGCCAATCAGAAAGGAGAAAACATCACACATGCTGACATCATGAGGAGTTTCAGAAAATCTTCACCCTGGCCGAAGTTTTTAAAAAGTTTCAGTTTCAGTCACACGACACTTCATTTACGCGTGGACAAACTGCGAAACCTCATAGAATGTACCCGTGTTGGTGTGGACGGGGCCTCTGACTTGCAAAATAAACTTCCTTTCATCACTAAATTGTAGGATTTTCTCTAATTTTGACCTCCACTGTATTTAAGAACATTAAAGCATGGTGTTTATCCTCCAGCGTGTTTTTGCGCTCACTCCTCAATGAATTAGCATTTTACCTCTGAAGCAAATGAATCACTGTCTTGTGTTTCGTAATATGCCGTGTATCTCTTTTGTTTGAGTATATTGTAGGGCATGATGGGACATCTACGTAGCAACCGGGCTGCATAGCAACACGACATGAAGTTTCTCCTTTGCCATGAATGGCTGTGAGATCATGGTGTTCAAGAGGAATAAATCAGACTTTGTGTTTAAAGCAATACGCATGAGGATGATTCAGTCTGTTTAAGCTATGACGTGGCTGTCAAACACCGAGTTGTTGTTGTGGTGAGAGTTTTAAATAGGTGTATATCACCTTCCTGAAGTCTGAGGTTGAGAAATAAACGCTTTTATTGCGCAATGACACATTAAATTGATCATAATATGCAGAAAATGCTTATATTTTTAGAAATACATGCTGTTCTTATGACAGATGTCTGGAATAATGTATCACTGATTTCATGAAAAGTTGTTGAGCCATGTTATTATGGATTTTAATGATGAGAAATGTTTTCTGAGCACTGAATTAGCCCTGCTGAGACTATTTTTAAAAAGTCCTAAAAATATAAATAGTGTTTTTTTTTTTTTTGTGATAAATATGTTTTGCTTTAGATTCCAGATGGATTTATTAGGAAATAATGAATGATAATGAAAATGATAATTCTGTCAGCAGTTACTCGTCTCTTGCCAAACCAGTTTGACTTAATTTCTTCTGGTGAAGACAAAGGGAAAACCTATTGCACTGCGTCAAAGACGCTTTATTTTTGGAGTGATGAAGAAACCTAAGTCACAAAGCTCCAGAAAGGACAAAATGCATGCTTGTTTTGTGTTTCTAATATGTGAATCAAACACTTACATTTTACCAAATAGTGAAAAGAAAGCAATAATGTTTTGGACCAGGAAAGCATCTTATGGTAGGAAGTGTTTGAAATCATTTTAAAGCATTCTTCTCTCCAAAGCAAATTGTTCTCTTCCAGAGCACCAATAGTTGATCTAAAAATAATAATAATAATAGAAATAATCTAAAACCTTTTTTTCGGTTAAACCCTGGGTAAAAAAATATTGGTGTTATTCTGGATGATGGCTTGAGCTTTGACAAACAGATAAATGCAATGGTCAAATCGTGCTTCTTTCAGCTTCGGGTTTTTAAAACAGTCAAATCTATTTTATCTAGAAAAAGTTTTGAAAAAAATTATTTATTCATCAGCACTAGATTGGATTATTGTAACTCATAAATTAGTCAGAAACCCTGTTTACAATTAGTTCAAAATGCTGCTGCAAGGCTTTTGACAGGTACCAGGAAACATGACCACATTACACCAGTTTACGTTATTTGCTCTGGCTGCCTGTGACTATCGAGTCGCTTTTAAAATGCTTCTCTTGGTTTTTAAATCTCTAAATGGCCTGGCACCTTCTTATCTGTCAGACATGTTGATTGAGCATCAGCCTGGTTGGTGTCTTCGGTCATCTAACCAGAGACTGTTATGCATCCCTAAGTCGAGGCTGATATGCAGAGGTGACCGTGCCTTCGCAGTAGCTGGTCCTCGGTTGTGGAATGCTCTGCCCCTCTGTATTAGATCTGTTTCATCCCTGTTTGTTTTTAAATCTAGGTTGAAAACTTACCTCTTTGATTTAGCATTTTATCAGTGAAAATTGTCTGTTAACTATAATTTTATATATATTTGTTTTTTCTCTGCTTTGATTTGTTCTGTGCAGCACATTGGACAACCTCTGGTTGTGTTAAATTGTGCTATATAAATAAAATTGACATTGACACTGCAATATATATTTCGATATGAATATAATTTCTCCAGATGAATTGAATAGCTCTATTTGGAAATAATTTCATTCATTTAGATCGGCTGGGATGGACAAGTCTGTTTCTATGCAGTAGATCTGCATAAATTTTAATAAATTACAAGCAAAAATAAATAAACAAACAGTGCGTTATGGTTTTCCAAGGAGTCTAACAGTATTTAAGTACAGAAAATGAACAATCAAATGTAAAATAGCACAGACATCATTGTTTAAATAATTAAAAATAATAATATTTATCTATAGGTGAATTGGGTGAGCTAAATTGTGTGTAGTATATGAGTGTGAATGGATGTTTCCTAGTACTACGTTGCGGCTGGAAGGGCATCCGCTGTGTAAAGCATATGCTGGATAAGTTGGCGGTACATTCCGCTGTGGCGACCCCAGATTAATAAAGGGACTAAGCCGAAAATAAAATGAATGAATGATATTTATATTTTAAGCTAAATAATTTAATCTTGCAATGTGACTATTGCAGATTCGCACATTTCGATATCAATACTCAAACAATATATATTGTTCAGCCCTAATAAAGAGTATATTTTAAAACCAACATTTTATAATTGAATGATGTGTGAGTGTAATACATCGATTTAACTAATATATATATAAATTTGATGCATTCCACTGGATTGAAATTAATTAATCGTCTTTTTTGACTGGTACAAAAGAAGTACGGCTGGAAAATTGTCTAAAGTTACTGTAGTTTGTTTGGGCAATAGTTAGTGTTAGGCCATGCTTTATTGTACAGAGTCAATCTTTTAAAGACCTTCAGTGCCTTGTAGGTTTGCAACAACAGGGTTAAACATATTAAAGTGAGCGCATCTTTTACCAGTCAGTGTTTACATCCGACTGCAGCAGATATAGAGTACTGGTCCATGAACGACAATCCCAGGGTGCACTACAAGCATTGTGTCGTTTCCTAACAAAGACGCTTCACATGTTCTTTGTCTGAGAGGCTTTAGCATGTGAAAAGCCTCCTGCTTCAGCGTCAGGGTTTTCTTGGCATCCATTGTTTTCCCTAGCTGTCATCCGTCTATGTCGTCTTATGTAATGCAAATGAGACGTTCTGCTGCCCCCTGCTGAACAGTGTGTGTGTCATTTCTCTGGCTTCTGGAGCTGATCTGATTCTGGCTGCAGATATGAGCTGCGAGCAGCACTCCAGACACGTGTTTCTGTCTGATAAGGTCTGTTGAACACATGCACATTACCCTGATCTCATTAATGAACTCTCTCTCTCTCTCTCTGTCTTGTTTTATAGTCTGAAATCGGCTTTGGGAAACTGGAGACTTATATCAAACTGGACAAGTTGGGAGAGGTAAACCGAGTGCATTTCTGTCATCATCATCATCACGCTGTCAAAAAAAAATCTAATGCTTCCTCTGATTGTCTTTTAGGGCACGTATGCCACCGTTTTCAAGGGGCGAAGCAAACTGACGGACAACCTGGTGGCTCTGAAGGAGATCCGGCTGGAGCACGAGGAGGGAGCGCCGTGCACCGCTATCAGAGAAGGTCTGCAGCCTCTCTCGCTTTCAGACAGCAGCGTTAATAACCACAGTTAAAAACCATCCTGACTTCTGTCTCTCTTCCAGTGTCATTACTGAAGGACTTAAAGCACGCCAACATCGTCACGCTTCATGACATCGTCCACACAGACAAATCACTCACGCTGGTGTTCGAGTACCTGGTCAGTGAACGCTTCCCCTCATGCCTTTATTCTTCGAATGACGTTCAAAAAATGGCTTGTGTTTTACATTTCACGTAATTTGTTTGTTAATTTACTCATCTGCTTATATTAGATCACTCGTATGTGCTGAGGTCTATAAAATAAAAATACTAAATATATCAGGATTATTGTCCTTAGTTTGCATGGCAGAAGCGCGCTCGTTTTTGCAATTGGGATAAATGCCTAGGAATAATAATAATGTGTTCATGCCTATACATGAAAAATAGAAAAATTTATTATTAGAAAAGATCCATTTGCAACATCAAGCAGCATAACAAGCTGTTTTTAACATCTAAAAACCAATGGAAGTGAATGAGAATGGAAGTCTCAGGCCAAAAATTGTGCAATGATTGCAGCCACTCGTACAGTATGTGAAGAATAAGATCAGTAATAACCAAAATGATCACGTTATCATATCATAAATTATCTGAAACACTTCCCTTAAAACAAGCTTTTTGTATCTGAAAAAGAACAAACATATAAGCTTGGCAACATAAACGTGGATCCCTGCATTTTGATTTTGCTCAATTATGTTTGTTTGATTTCATGCACTTTGCTTTTGTGTGTTTTTACATGTACATGTGATTTTTCTTACCCAAGGTATTATTTGTTTAACCTGTACTTGTTAAACTACCTCACAGAGATCCATGTTTGCATAGGTTTTCCACAAAATTGCATAAAGCTGCTTTATAAAAGGCAAACGGGCTTGTGTGATTTGACCAAAAATTCCTAATTGCATTTTTTCTGAATAATATTACGATTTGATATTGTGGATCCAAAGCTTTAGCTCAGTATTCACAGTAATGTGCAGGACGCACTTTAAATGAAAGTAATGCAATATACTTTAACTGTATATTAATACATGTTTGTTAACTCTCAATATTAACATCCATTTACTAGCCCTGTCACTATTTTTGGTGTCTTTTTTTTTTGCTGTACAATCTTGCTCCAAAATATATTGCGATAAACGATATTATTGTCAATTTAAGACCATTTTATAACGCCAGAATGACAATATAATATCATCACAATGCAAGGACAATCTTCCATAAGGGTTTATGTGGGGTCTTAAAAAGTCTTAAATCTCAAAATCCTTATTTTAGGCCTTAAAAAGTGTTAAATCTACTGTTGTAGGTAGGGTTGGGCAATGTCGACCAATTTGGCATTGTACGATGTCTAATGTGAAACATCGCAATGGACGATGGCATCGTTAACATGTGAAAAGCGCAAGAGGGGTGTTTGACAGAATGCGGGAGATTATCACTCGCTTGTGGGCATTATGAGTCCTGCAAATGCATAGAGACTCCCAGAACTTCAGAGAGACTTGGGATGTCTGTATATCACGTTTAACAACTGTAATGAAACGCGATCCAGCGGTACATTCTTGATAAACTCTCTGAAGTGCACTGCTCTCTGGAGCTCAGAGGAGCGCATGACAGTGTGTGTTATTTTAATACTAAGGTGTATTAGTGTAAACGGGGCCTGAGTGTGTATTATTCGTGAGTGGGTTTTTTGACGGGGGCAGGGCGGAGGATCGGCGATGCCGGCTCAGCATCGTGTTGTCTATCGGCCATCGGCAGTGAACGATTGCATCGTCTATCGGCCCAACCCTAGTTGTAGGTTTTAAATATTTTTTTAACAGGTCTTAATTTTTCTTTGTTCTTATATTGTTACTCAATCTGGCCAAAACCCATACAATCACCAACAATAAATCTCAATAAAACGTTAAACTTTATTTTAAACAGTATTTTTAAATTATTTATCATAATTTTAATTATTAACAAAATTAACTTTTGTTTAAAAGTTCCTGGACAGATTGTTGTGCATAAATTTAGTTTATTATATATTTTTTTAACTTTTAAAACATTTGTTAATTTAAAAATAAAAATAAAAAAGTTCATATTGGAAAAAAAAGTGTATGGATACAAGTAGAGCTTGCTTGTTTTTACACAATATTTAAAAATATTTTGCTGAGAAAAAATATATAAAAATGTTTTGTTATTGCATCATTATTATTATATTGTATTAAATATTGTATTATTATATTGTTACATTATTATTGTATTAAATTATAATATTTTTTGAATGGACAAAAAAAATCTTTTCCATCTGGGCCATTTGAAAAATCCCTTAGCCTTCAGCCCTTAATGAGTCTAAAATTTCTTTCTTAACGGTCTTAAAAATTTCTTAAAGTCTTAAATTTAACTCTGTGAAACCTGCAGAAACCCTGTTCCATTTAACACATCATATTTTAATCTTAATATTATTTCATTTAATTATCGTCATTTTAACAATTAGGCATTGGAAATGTGAAGGCGCATGTCCTAAATTGTTTGCAAATATATAATCAATCACGTTTTTAATGATAATGAAAATTTGAAACCGTAATCCTAACAATCAGAAAATGCGTTGTGGTTTACCTTGAAACTGGTTATGTGACAACACTAATTCATTTAGCCAGAAAGAAAGAAAGAAATCAAAAGTGGCTTGCCTTTGCGTTACATTTCCATGTTTTCCTCCTGTAGGATAAAGATCTGAAGCAGTACATGGATGACTGTGGAAACATCATGAGCATGCACAACGTCAAGGTCCGTCCTTAATTATTTGAGCAGCTGATGGAATGGATTTAACAAAAACAAAGTTTGTTGGGATAGTGTTTGTGTCTGATCTTGTAACTCACAAAGTGTACATATGCATGTGTGTGTCTGCAGATTTTCCTCTTCCAGATCCTGCGAGGTCTAGCGTACTGTCACAGACGAAAGGTTCTGCACAGAGACCTCAAACCACAGAACCTGCTCATCAACGAGAGAGGAGAACTCAAACTGGCCGACTTCGGTACGATTAATCATCAAATAAATATTTTATTGAATGCACATTCATTTGTGTGACAGATAAATACAAAAGCATAAACCATTTATATTCAACTTCTATTTAATAGAAATTATTAGTTTCATTTTTACATCATTTTCTGTGTAGTTTATTTTTATTATATATTTAAAATGACATGTATTTATATTTATTTGTTGTTATTTTATATAGAACATAAATACATGCTTGTAAATATCAAATGAAATTTTGAACAAAGATATTATGAATATTTTAAAGATTCACTTCTTTAAACAATAAATATGTACAGTATGTGAATATAGTATACTGTTTAATGACGTGAATAATTAAAATATATGTTATGTATTATGTTTTTATAAAAAATGTTATTTGCTATAGGTATATTTGTAAGAAAAATACACTTGTATATACAATAATGAAAAAATATAAATAAAGATATAATGTATATTTTGGTAATTCACGAAAAAATTATATGGTTAAATTATGGTTAAATACTGTTTTATACTGTGAATCATTCATATATATATATATATATATATATATATATATATATATATATATATATATATAGTTTCTTTTTTTATAAAATATTTTGCTGTAAAATATACTTATTTTTCAATAAAAATGTATTTGCTTATATTTCTTTTTATATTTTATAATACTAATTACAGTTGAGCCTGAAATTATTCATACCCCCGGCAAATTTTGACTTTTTTTGTTCAAATGTAAATAACAGCTGAGAAATATGTTTTTTACCACAATGTACATCATCTTATTATCTTTTAGGAGAAGCCTGCATCATTTCCAGTTCCAGTGACGTTAATTAAATGTTAATAAATACTCATTATTTATTTTTTTGTATATAATTGAGTATAAATTAGATTTTTTTATACGAACATTAAGTTGTAAATGTTGACATTATTTAAATGTTAAATGACATGGTTATTTATTTATTCATTTAATTATTTATTTATATAATAATTATATAATAATTAATATAAAATAATTGATTTTAGATTTACAGAA